GCTTCTTTTTGCAGAGAAAAAAACTTTAGAGGAAGGCACGGGTTTCAACCGTGAATTTTAGAGCTTCGACAAGACTGAGGGTTTTTTTCCGCCCTGAGGTCGGCCTGTTAGCCTAGCTCATAGCTTAGCTTCTCAGCTTAGCTGCTGTTAACGATCCAAAAAACGTGATTTTGGACGGTTAAAACAGATTTTAAAGAGAAAGGGAGGGGTCAGCGAAGAGCACCGGAGTTGAGCCTTTTGTCATCCAGTGTCTTCAGTAGAAAGAGAGAGACACGAAGAAACGATAAAGCCGAGAAAAGAAAATGAGGTCGATAATTTTCATTTATCATGAAATTAACTGATTTATCGTTTATCGCGACAGGCCTAGTTACAAGCTCGTATCGGTGGAACTGACCACAAATTTGTCTGTTTGGAGTTGCCATTGAGATGTACCAATGCGACTGTAAAGGCAGACGGAAATTAAATGGAGTCGGCCTGACCCAAAACAACTATTGTTCTCTGAATCTGGCTCCCCTGTATCGACAAAAAGGAAGGCTGTCTATTTCAAATTCCACTTGGATGTTATGTGAACAAGATGCTCTGCTCCTGCTGCTCCCACTACCCGTTACCTTCCCCAAGGACATCTGTGGACCTGTGTCAGAGCTCTACCGAGGCCGGCTGATAAACATTTTACCATCACTTATTTTGGACTATGGCTAGGGGGCTATCTGGAACAGTGTTCACGGATTTACTTACAAACGCACATACGCATACACCCACTTGTACAGTGAGTGTCTATTAAGGACACAGTGCGACATACGACTTTTTTTGCACCTCCTCTTTCCTTGTGTTTCCTTTTCCTTACCTAACAAAAAAAGGCAGCGCCTCTCATGAGGCTACAGCCTCAGGCACTCACTCCATCTCCCATGTTCATATTATTGGTTGTTTGTGTTTCTTTGGACGGGCTGTACTGAAATGTGAAACAGTTCGAGCAGATGCTCTGATATCTTTTCCTAAACCAGAAAAGGGGGTTTCGTTTCCATAAAGATAACAATAAGGAGTCCTTTGTTCATCCTCAGAACAAGTTCCTTTGTAGAAACGTCCACGGTCCAACAGTGCCCTCCTTTTGGAAACATAATGTTAATTTTTAAGGTCAACTCAAAAGATGTTATTTCAACTATATGTGAATGTTCATGAATGAAACGCAGTGTTTTTGAATAAGCGTTCTTAAGATAATTATTCTTATTTGATGTTTCTTTATGAAAGCAAAGACGATCTACTGTAAAGAGTCAGTATCCGCCTTAGACCAAAATTATGACATCTGATTGGATAAAAAAAAATTTCAGGCTTTTTTTTTTTTTTTTTTTAACTTTCACGTCTGTAAAGTTCAAGTTTCAAGCTAAGTTTTCAACAAAGTAGCCAACCGAGCTGACCATAAAGGGTCCTGACTACCGCGGATAAGTTCCAGAACCTCGTCACCTGACTTGCTGCATCAAAACCGATATGACAGCCAGCCAGTCATCTTCCTACCGTGAGCAACTGCGAGCTAAACCAGAACAGCTATCCACCGGAGCTAGGTCCATAGGGAAGACTATGGTCGTTATCGCCAAGGCAACCCGGTTGGGGGTGTGTCTCAAATTCCCGAGTTTATTGAGAAGGGGTTCTCTGCAGGCCAAAAGTGGGCGTTTCTGGCTAGTAGGCGTTTGTGGGGGGCAAACACTGATTGGCTGACTGTATTTAATAGGCGTTTGTAGGGGGCAAACACTGATTGGCTGACTGTATTTGCTGCTCTTTATTTAAGTTACGTGAGCTCTTTTTTAAAACTGAAGGTTTCTAAGAACCAGTTTTAAATCTGCTGTCAAACACAAGAAGATTCTCTTGTGTTCTTGGGTTGTAGGCTGCACCTGACACAGGTTGCCTTGAGTGTGGTCTGGGTACAATGAAATATGAAACATCTGAAGCGAAACCTGCTCCTATTTGTCAAAAAGTCTGGTCTCAATTAAAGATCATGAGTCCTATGACGAGATAATGATACAAAACAAACACTAAAAAACAAAATTTGCTCTTTAGAAGTGTCTTCTATGAGATCTGATCTATGAAAGGAGCTGAAACATGGAGTAGGGTTGATCCTTAAAATGTGAGACAGCTGAGGAAGTTAACCAGTAAACATAAATACCGGCTCCAGTTGCAGAAATCTGACAGAAACTGACAATCACTCATCTGCAGTGACTACAGGTTGAACAAGAAAATGTGAAGTTAAAGGAAACATCCTTTGTCCCAAGGCCAGTTTAAGTATAATTAATATTTTTCTTTCTTTATGAATCAATTGTAACTATTTTCACATTTTTCAACAACCAAAATGGATTTTGTTGGGGACTGCCATGTCCTATTATTCTACACCTCGGAAGTGAGTCTACATTTCTATCTCCGTTAATGCGGCCTGAACCACAATGTCTACCCCCACAAAAGTTATATCAAAACGACCGGCTCGGCCCCGTGATGTGTGCTATTACTTTTATTGGCATTTCAAGTTACCATGGCAAAGTAATTTGCAAACAAAGACGCAATATTTCACCAACTCCAGGAACTAGTTGGTGACTGACCACTTATTATTCTACACCTGAAAAGCGTATCTTTTTCAACTTTAATGCGTCCCAAACCGCAAAGTGGACCCCCACAAAAGTTATATCCAAACGACCAGCCCGGCCCCGAGATGTGTGCTATTAATTTTATTGGCAAATGATGTTACCATGGCAACATATTTTGCTAACAAAAATGACAAATTTCCCATAGGAAATGAAGAGGAGAAAACTTTTCAAAGAAACTGAGTAACGTCGGGAGCCATTTTGGTTCAACATGCATGGAAGGCACCTATTATCACCTATTATTACTATTATTAATTAGTATAAAAAACATAAATGATTAATGATTCATTTTAATAATTACAAATAATAACATTAATCATTATTAATATTAATAATTTATATTTCATATTACTTTAATATCAATATTATTATCAAATATATTAATAGTTTATATAATTAATAAATCAATGATATAGTAATAGTTAATTATTAATATTATTAATTATTAATAATATTTATTATTCATTCTACTTTAATAATAAATAGGCAGTCCCCGTCAAAGTTTCTCTAGGAACTTTCTAGTTTTTTTATGTTATGGCTAGGTATATAAAAAAAAAAACATTTAGCTCTCCCCACTACCCAGTCATGTTGCTCTTATTTTGAAATGTAACCGGAAGTTCTGTGTTAAGAGAGGCGGAAAGAGAAGTTATGGAGACGCCGCTAATGTCAAACGGAGACGCCGCCAATGTTGAACCTGAGACGCCGCTAATGTCGAACCGGTTAACACCATAGACATAATATGCCTGTGGTTAACTCAATCTTCCAATAACGCCTTGTTTTTAGACATAATGTGTCTGTCGTTAACACAAACGGCTTTTTATCGTTCAGCCCTTTTTTTTTATCGTCCAATCAGATGTGGCTGGCCAGACACGCCCATTTTTCTATCGTCCAATTAGATGTGGCCCGCCAGACACGCCCATTTTTTCTATTGTCCAATCAGATGTGGTCGGCCAGACACGCCCATTTTCCTATAGTCCAATCAGATATGCCCCCCCTCGGATACGCCTCGTCCAATCAGATGTGGCCCCCCCAGATACGCCTTCCGAATTTGTCTGCAGAGATACGCACTTGAGTTTGTTTAAATGCACCGGCTGCACACCTGTCTGGAGGCTGTACGAACGCGGTAAAACTCATGGTTTCATCTGCTTGCTGGTGACCCTGACATGACAATAATTACATCAGTTCACAAACCAAAGATAAATAAATATCTTTTAACATCTGCCAGTTTCAGTAACTTTAATAACCTTTTGCTTTCCTTTTCAAAGATTCCAAGTCATTTGATATTCGGTTTATAATTTCACAGATTTTTATTTTTATATTTAGATTTTATTTCCAGTAGTGCTAGTTTTCACATATAGTTGTAGTTATTGCCCATATTCATATATCACTGATCATAGTTACGTAACTGGTTATGGTGAAGCAATGCAAGCACTGTTCTGGTAACAGCTGTGAGTCCAAACTGGTTCTGGATGTCCTTCACCTGGATGTCAGGTGATGGGTTCTTTTAACTCGATCTTTTCCTCCGTCTCTTTCTTAATGAGACGTCATCAAACTTCTCTGAATTCTTTCTACACTCCCCAAACGAAACTCAACTCTCTATGAGTCAAAACAGGCTTACGATTGGTTCACCCATGAGAGAAGGGGTGTGGCCTGGTAACATCCATCCAATCAGAGGTCAGAAGGTGGTTCTGAAACGTAGTTTTCGTTTTTCTTAAGAGACTTATTTAATAAAATCCAAAATCCTTATTTCTGCCTCAAAGTTTCATTCTAAAAGAAAAATAAGACCAATTATATTATCGTAAAGACTATTACTCAAAATCACATACTTTTCATGAATAAACATTCAAGAATGATACATTAGATTGATGTTGGATTAATATTTAAATAAACATGCACGTTAATCTAAAGGAGTTGCTGTTGGACCATCCATCTCCTGCAAAGGAAGGTCATTTGATGAACAAAGGCTCTCTTAGAACAAAGATCTCCGTTATTAATGACCTTACGGGTTACTGAGTTCATATTGGGAGGTTTACAGGTTAATACAGAATAACGGTCTTTTCACCTATTCCCCTACTTTTGTCTAAGTTGTACATAACTTTGCTTTATCCACTTTAAAGTAAAATAAACATCATAAAAAGTTCTCAAAGTGCAATATTTCAAATTTGATGTCACATAAATAAAAATATTTGTGAATTTACATTATTCAAAACTGACCAATCGGCTGCTTTAGTTAAAACCCGTCTGTTTTATTTGCCGAACAGTTTATGTTCTTGTTTGCTGTCAGGTTGCGAGCCGGGAGCTCGGCATCCCAACCACGAAGATCTACATCAGCGAAACCAGCACCGGCACGGTTCCCAACACGTGTCCTTCGGCTGCTTCCTTCGGCACCGACGCCAACGGCATGGCGGTCAAGGTGAAAACGCATCTCCGTGGTTACTCCTGGTTTAAAGTGAAGCCATCATTAATGTGTCCTTCCTTCAACCAGAACGCCTGCGAGGTTCTGCACCAGCGACTGGAGCCGATCAGACTGAAAAACCCCAAAGGATCATGGGAGAGTTGGGTAGAATAAGAAAGCTAACGTTGAACATTTTGTGTTTTTTAACTACACTTCAGTAAACATGTTTTTTTACTCGCATGGCAGGTCCAAGAAGCTTTTTTGGATAAAATCAGTTTATCAGCCACTGGATTCTTCAGGTTCGACTAAACTACCGGTACTTGTTTGGATCTTTAATGATTGAAGCAACAGCTGACGTGTGTTTGTACTCTTCCTCAGAGGTAAGGACCTCTACATGGACTGGGACAAGATGGAGGGCCAGCCGTACTCCTACTTCACATATGGAGTGTGTTGTTCTGAGGTGGAGCTGGACTGCCTCACGGGAGACTACAGGGTCTGGACTCTAGTGTTGCACCGTTCTTTAACTAGAACACGAGTCCAGCTGGTTATAAACAGAGGAACATTTCTGTTCTGCTTCTTACAGACGGTTAGAACTGACATTGTGTTCGACATCGGCAGAAGTCTGAACCCGTCTGTGGACATTGGTCAGGTAGGAACTTTTTTATTTATTTAACAGCGACATTAAAAGTGCAATTGAAAACCTAACTACACAGAAATGTAACACACACCTATAAACCATTCCTTAATTCTATTAAAACTCAGCACAAACGAGAGACCTAGAACCAAGTAGCTCAAAATATGAATGCACCTAAAAAAATGTCTTTGTTTAGCAGACTTTTTTCATTCAACCTTTATTTATACAAAGAGCCTTGAGGGCTCATTTACAAGAGAGACCTGTTTTTAACAAAGAATGATGACATCATAAAAGAAAGCATATAAATAAATTAAAAAAGGAAGAAAATTATATAACAAAACCCGAAACAAACCCAGCTACCTTCTAAAGCTTTGTAGAAGACAAAAAACAGGAACATGTCTGCATTGGTTTTTGCCATGAACTTAACAGATGTTTGAAGCCACTTAGAGAGGTCAAGGTCAAGAGCTTCAGATCTTTTTGCAAGATATTCCAGGAAACAGGAGCGGAGTAGGAGAAGGCCCTTTTGCCTAGTTCAGTCTGCACTGAGGAAACACTGCAGGTAATAATGTCCTGAGAGCGCACGCTGTAGCTGCACTCACGCAGAGACATGTAGGAGGAGATGTATGAAGGCAACAGACCAAGAAGTGATTTAAAGATGAAAATGTACCAGTGAGAGTCTGCGTGAAGCTAATGATGACCAGTTAACCAGTGAATCAGAATCAGAATCCGTTTATTATTGCCATGTCAACGAACGAGGTTCACAAACTAGGAATTTGCTTCGACATAAAGGTGCGAATAGTAATAAAGTAAAATAAAGTAAAAATGAAGACATTACATAAAACATGTGTACACCCATAGATAAAGTATAAATGAAAACGTAACATAAAACATGCGTACACCCATACAATTGAAAACAATAAAAAAGCTTAGAAAACAGTACAGATGGAGTATTCAGTTATAATACAGATGTAATGTGACCAAAGCAGAAATTATGAGGTAGCATTATGAGTGTTCAGGAGTCCAACAGCAGAGGGGTAGAAATTGTTCTTATGGCGGGAGGTTCTGGTCCGAATGGACCGAAGCCTCCTGCCTGAGGGGAGTGGTTCAAACAGACCGTGTGCAGGGTGAGCAGGGTCAGCTGTGATCCGACCTGCTCGCCTCACAGTCCTGGAGACGTACAGGTCGTGGAGGGATGGAAGGCTGCAGCCAATCACCTTCTCAGCTGAGCGCACAACGCGCTGCAGTCTGAGTCTGTCCCTGGCAGTGGCCCCGGCATACCACACCGTGATGGAGGAGCCGAGGATGGATTTGATGATGGCTGTGTAGAACTGCACCATCAGCTTGGCCGGCAGCTTGGCCTTCTTCAGCTGTTGCAGGAAGTACAGTCTCTGCTGGGCCTTCTTGATGAGGGAGCTAATGGTCAGCTCCCACTTGAGGTCCTGGGTGATGGTGGTGCCGAGGAACCAATAAGAGTTCGCAGTGGTGATGGGGGTATCATTACAGGTGAGGGGGGGCAGAGGGGCTGTGGCTTTCCTCAAATCCACTGTCTTCCGGGCATTGAGTTCCAGGTTGTTGCTGCTGCACCAGGTCACCAGCCGGTCCACCTCCCTTCTGTATGCAGACTCATCACCGTCCAAGATGAGCCCGATGAGGGTGGTGTCATCTGCAAACTTAATAAGTTTCACAGAGTCGTGGCTGGAGGTGCAGCAGTTGGTGTACAGGGAGAAAAGCAGGGGGGAAAGCACACAGCCCTGTGGAGATCCTGTGCTTACAGTCTGAGTGTCCGAGACAGCGCTCCCCAGCCGCACGCACTGACTCTGGTCTGTCAGGAAGTCTGTGATCCACCTACAGGTGGGTACATGGAGCAGGGAAAGCTTGTCTTGGAGCAGAGCAGGGAGGATGGTGTTAAATGCAGAGCTGAAGTCCACGAACAGGATCCTGGCATAGGTTCCTGGGGAGTCCAGGTGCTGCAGGATGAAGTGAAGAGCCAGGTTTATTGCATCATCTACAGACCTGTTGGCCCTGTAGGCAAACTGCAGAGGGTCCAGGAGGGGGTTGGTGATGGACTTGAGATGAGATAAAACCAAACGTTCAAAGGTTTTCATGACTACAGACGAGGACTACAGAATACAGTGTGCAGTGGTGTGTACGATAGTTACAGCCGGTTATGAATCTTAGCGCACCACGATAGACAGCATCCAACATCTGCAAGGTGCTTGTAGGGACATTCATGTAAATATTGTCACCATAGTCAATGGAGGGAAGGAAAGTCACAGTTACAAGGTGTTTCCTAGCATTCAGAGTTAGACAGTATCTGTTTCTGAAAAAGAAACCCAGTTTTACTTTCAGTTTCCTTACTAGGTTCATGTCAAAAGCAGATTGCAAAAGCTGGAAAACCTTAGCAACTATTTTAGCTCGACAATAAACAACTGTGTCATCAGCATAGAAATGTAAGGATGCATCAGGGATGGTCTGACCTCCATTACCTATGTAGATTGTAAAGAGGGTGGGTCCTAAGACTGAGCCTTGTGGTACACCATTCTTGACTGTTAAATATTTGGAAGAAATACCATTATGTTGAACACATTGCCTCTGATCTGAGAGATAGTTAGAAATTGGTTTCTCAGATCACACCATAGGTTGGTTCTCTAAGAGCTTATGACATGAGATGTCATGGTCCACAGTGTCAAAAGCTTTAGACAGGTCTAAGTAAAGTGCAACACAATAATCCTTTGCATCTAGTGCTTCAACTACATCATTTAACATTTATGTATATTTAATATATTGTTAAAAATCAACATACTGGGTTTTCTCGTGGCAGCAGAATTCCTTGTGTGGTTGTTTCACCTGAGCTTAGGTAAAAATGTATGGCTATAGTAGACAAAAGCTTTCCATACAAAAATTAAGTTGAGTCTGCTGAAAATTCAGGACCTTCAAGGGATCTATTTTCCATTTCTTAATCCAATTTTTTAAAAACTCTGTTTGTCCAGAGTGGGTCCCATTGATGATGATCAGGTACTCTGCATCTCTTGGCTGATATTGAACTTTCTAAGACTTGAATCAGTTTTTCACACGTAGCTTTAACTTATTTTTTGTTGTATTTTATTTAATAAAGAAACAGTCTGTTGTGTGTTTTTGTTCACTTGATGTTAGATTTCACAAGATCATGAGCTACAAAAGGGCAGGCTTTTTTTTTTTCCCCACATGACTCAAGTTATTGGGGGTACGGTGTTCTCCAGGGCTCCATTCTGGGACAACTTGTATTTGGTTTTTAGGAGTATATCTCAAATTCAAATGTAAACTTTTATGCTGATGATAAGTCACATTCTGCTCTACATGCATACCTCATCAGGGTCTCTGTTAGCTACATAAGGTTTATTATACTTTCCAGCATATCTTTGATGATTGTTCTGAAAGCCAACAAAATAAATTCTGACATCTTAATCAGATCACACAGATCATCTGTTTTCTAAATGTTCTTGGTTAATTGTAGCTGATCTTGGTAAAATAAATAACTAAATAAATAATATTCATGCTGATGTGAGGAACTGGCTTCAATGACATTTTTCCTTTTCTTTTTTCTTCTCTCTAACCTTTTCTCTCTCAGATTGAAGGAGCTTTCACACAGGGTTTGGGTCTCTACACTTTGGAGGAGTTGAAGTTCTCTCCCTCTGGGTTCTTGTACACTCGCGGTCCGTCTCAGTACAAGATCCCAGCAGTCTGCGACATGCCTCTTCAATTCAACGTCTACCTGCTGCCAGACTCTGACAATCCTCACGCTATTTACTCTTCAAAGGTCGGCATCATCAGACAAACTCTCATTGATGGCTTGTTTGGGTGCATGATTTCAATATGTTCTTCGTGACTGTCTCCTCAGGGAATCGGAGAACCTGCCCTTTTTCTGGGCAGCTCAGTGTTTTTCGCCATCAAAGACGCTGTGGCGGCGGCTCGCTCAGATTCTGGTCTCACTGGGCCATTTTCTCTTGACAGCCCAGCAACTCCTGAGAAAGCATGCCTGGCTTGTGCCTCTCCGTTCATTCAGAAGGTGGTATATCACCCCATAAAGATAGCGGGAGTCAATTTTTCTGTCTAATTTTCTTTAGATTCTGGTAAACTGAAATATTTAAACTTGTAAAGATAAAATTAAATTAGCTAATTCTGCTGACTGAGCCAAACAATTTTATGTATAAACTCGTAGTAGGTTCAAACTCTGATTTTCTGTGTACATTTGGTTTTGTCAGATATTTTAAATCTTTAGTTTGAATTAATCGGTTAACCTTAATACAGTTTCTCTAGTTTAACTAAAATAATAACCTGCCTAGAAAAGTTAGACAAAAATATTCATTGTTCTTCCTTGTTTAAACAAATTATTATACAAAACACAATTTCTTCTTATATTGTCTGTTTTCTTTTCCAGATTCCAGCCAGTACATCAGGATCATTCAAACCATGGGCCTTAAACATCTAAAATCAAATCACATAGTCAGCTAAAGCAACTAACCATAATGAACTAATGCAAGTATTTTAACACAACACTGATAAACAATGACACAAGATGCTTTTTATCCTAAGTCATGAAATGGGATTATTTAGATTATATACTTAACTCCCTAATTCTTACAAAAGATTAACAAACTTTTATGGTTTTCAGTTTTAATAGTTTTTGACCTCTATAACCATGGTATTTACTGGTACTTTTAATAATATAAGCTGATGCATACAGTATATTTGCATTTTACACATTCAAACACTGTATCAAACTGTTTTTTGATGACAAAGTTCAGTACTCTGTGTTTGTGACTCCATTTAATGAGATTTAAACCATCAGAAGTAAAAAATAAATTGCAACTATCACCATTTTCTTTATCCAATAGGCAGCCATTTTGAATATGAGGTGAGTGCTGGGGAAGAATTTCCAACTTTCCAAGTTAAAATTCTCACTTTAGGAACCAATCCAGTAAAAAAAAAAAATAATAATTATAAATTGTCAGAATTTCAATTTTAGTGTTCAAATAAAACTGTATAAATGTACATTCTGTATGTGTATTAAAAGACTTTAATCATTAATAAATTGAGAAAATAAGTGCTCTCCTGTGACTTTACTAATATTAAATATATTTTTTTCTTTTTATAATTTTAAAGTTTTCTAATTATTACTGTTTTGTATCACCAAGAAAGGGAACTCTTAATTTTCAGATTTGTGACATGTTAATGAATAATATGCAAGTAAAAAAATCATCAGTGGTAATTCAGAGGTGCTGTATTAAAATATTAAACTGATGAAGTGTTGGTTACCAAAATTGGGACCCCACTGTGGGTCAATAAACACCAAGTTGTGGGTCCAAAGTCGTTCTCCAGCAATAAAACAAAATTCAAAACAATTAATGCCAGCATATTTCACCTATTATAAAATAATAATTTTCATATAATTCAATTCAGTCTATTTATATAGCACTGAGTCAGTATAGCAGCACAACTAAGGGAAAGCTCAGGGAATCCAAGCCATCCCTAACTATAGGATTTATCATAAAACAAAGAATTAAGCCCAGTCTTAAAAGTGGACAATGTGTCAGCCTCACAGGACAGAAACTGGAAGTTAGTTCCACAAGAGAGGAGCCTGATAACTGAAAGCTCTGCCTCCCATTCTACTTTTGAAAACTGTAGGAACCACAAGTAAACCTGCAGTCTGAGATTGACATGCTCCGTTAAGAAAATATGGAATCTGTAATATAAGATGGAGCTAGGTTGTTGAGAGCTTTGTATGTTAGAAGTAAGATTTTGAATTATATTCTGAATTTGACAGGGAGCCAGTGGAGAGAAGCTAAAACTGAAGAAATATGATCTCTCCTACCAATTTTCATTTAAACTCTGGCAGCAGCATTTTGAACCTACTGAAGACTTTTTACAGAAGTTTTAGACACCCAGATAATAAACAATTGCAATAGTCTAGTCTAGATGTGATAAATGCATGGATCAGTCTTTCTGCATCACTTTTGGACAAGATGTTTCTAATCTTAGATAAGTTACACAGGTGCAGGAAAGTGGTCCTGGTTACTTTTTTTAATGTGCGGGTTAAAAAACATATCCTTATCCTGATCAAAAATAACACCAGGGTTTTTGCATTAGAATTGAAGGCCAAATTAATGAGAAAGTGAAAGACTGCAAAATTTATTCCTAACATGCTCCAGTCCAAAACCTCTGTCTTGTCTGAGTTTAAAAGCAGACAATTAAGGGTCATCCAGGTTTTTATGTCTTTAAGACATGCTTGTAGTCTAAGTAACTAATTTAATTCATGGGGTTTCATGGATAAATATAACTATCATAAGCATAACAATGAAAATTTGTCCCATGCTGTTTACCTAATGGAAGTATAAAGAATATTTGTCCAAACACTCAACCCTGAGGAACTCCATAAATACCAGACTCCATTTAAACCATTTTAGAGCCATTCCTGTAATGACAATATCATATTCAAGCCTCTGTAGTAGAATATTATGTGATCGGCTGTATCAGATTCACCACCGAGATCTAACGGGATCAGTATGCCATGTCTGCCACAAGAATATAATTAGTAACGTTCACCAGTGCAGTTTCTGTGCCGAGCTCTAAACCTTGACTGAAACTCCTCAATTTTTTTTGTTTAGATGTTCACAATTGATTTGCAACTATATTCTCAACTACTGTGACTACTGTTGCATAATCTTTGAAAAATAAACGATGGTGGTCTAATGGTGGATGGAATCCCTGCCCCGTGCGGTGGGCGGAGCCTGCCAAAGTCCTGACAGGAAGCTCTTTTTGTTTGGGCTGTTCACTCTCCACTCTTGCTTCAATTCCCCTGGTTAACAACCGTTTTTTATCTGCATTAATTTCTGCGAGTTACCCGTATTTCCGTCTTTCTTGTGTTTTTTCATGCATCAACTATGTTATAAGAGTGCTGGTATGCCTAATTAAATCTTATAAAATAAGTTTTGGGGCTTATCGTTTGAAAAATGTTACTCCGCTGGAATGCAATTTTGTTTCGTCAATATGAATATAACTGAGTATCATCAGCATAACAATGAAAATTTATCCCATGCTGTTTACCTATGAAGCATATAAAGAGTATTCGTCCAAGCACTCAAGCATGAGGAACTCCATAACTACCAGACTACATTTAAACCATTTTAGAGCCATTCCTGTAATCCCAATATCATATTCAAGCCTCTGTAGTAGAATATTGTGATCAGCTGTATCAGATTCACCACTGAGATCTAACAGGATAAGTATGCCATAAGAATAGAATTACTAACTTTCACCAGTGCAGTTATTGTATTATTAAACCCTGATTGAAACTCCTCAGATTATTTTTGTTCAGATGTCCACACAATTGATTTGCAACTATTGATTGTGTCAACTACTGTGACTACTTTGGCATAATCTTTGAAAAATAAAAGATGGCGGTCTAATGGTGGACGGAATCCCCGCCCCTGCGCGGTGGGCGGAGCCTGCCAAAGTCCTGACGGGAAGCTCTTTTTGTTTGGGCCGTTCTGTCTCCAGTCTTGCTTCAATTCCCCTGGTTAACAACCGTTTTTTATCTGCATTAATTTCGGTGAGTACCCGTATTTCCGTCTTTCTTGTGTTTTCTCATGCATCAGCTATGTTATAAGAGCGCCGGTGTGTCTAATTAAATATTATAAAATAAGTTTTGGGGCTTATCGTTTGAAAAATATTACTCCGCTGGAGGGCGATTTTGTTTCGTCGATATGATGTCGCATTAGCTTTAGCTTTCATCCACCTTAAGTCCATTTTTGTAAAAAGGGGAAAGCATGTTGTGACATTTCGGCGACAGTTCGTGTCTAAAGTTATACCAAGTCACTGTGTTTTTAAGATTACAACTTGTGCCTTGTGGTTTAAACCCAGTTTTTTCGCCGAGCAGGCCCGGCTACATAGCAGCGACCCGGTGTAGTGCTTAAAAGCGCACCCCGACAATTAAACGCTCATCTGAAGAGCGTCAATTACAAGAGGTTGGTTTAAGTAACGATACCATTGGATATTGTTTAGACACACGCACACTCTTAACCATCATATCAAACGTGGACACATTTTGTGAAAAGGTAACGGACTTCAACTGTTGTTTCGATGCACATCTAACACTGGACGGGGTGCTTTTTTTCGGTTCAACACCGGCGCGTGGTGAGGCCCGAAGTTAGCCTGAGCTAATCCTCGGTTAGCCGGCATTACTTTTTAACGATCCCAGATTATAACGCATCAAACGGCATTGTGGTATTAAGAACTATTCCTGAAACGTTTAATTTAAAGTTTTACACATTTTATTTATTTATTTTTTTTAATATGCGAAGATTGCAGCAGTTCGTCGAAATCACGACCCAACAACCACCATCTTCATTATACCTCCTTTGTTTGGTCCTCATTTCCTTTTGCGTGGCTGCCCATTAAACATAGGCTAAATTAGTGTCTTATAATTAAAGGTTATGATTAAATTAAATCTTAAAGAGTTGGCAGCAAACGACTAAATAAAATTTGACAATCTGAGTGAAAGATGCTGGCAAACAGTGCAGACCAAACTAATTATAAAGGACACGTGACCACAAACGCCTTCAACAGCATCTGTTTTTATTTGTTTTGTCCATCATCCTGTTTGGTTTAAGAAGCAACAAAAAGAATAACATAATTACAATTTTTAAAATCGGCAAAGCTGACAAGATTGAGTCTGTTTGCATGAAAGTTATGAGGCCACAGTCTAAAACTCCTGCTTCTTTTAATCACTTAAAGCGGCTGTTCACGCCCCAGTGTCCTCAACCAGGCATTTACAGGCTATATATTTATTATTTATTATATTTATCATCAGATTCTGCAGGGGAGCTCATGACAATTGCACCCGAAAATAAAGGAACAGAGTGTACAGTTCGTTTGTACAGCAGTAACCATTGTTTTAAATCTTTTTAGGTGTCTTTTATGAATAATCAAAAGCAGCAAAAGCCAACGCTTACCGGCCAGCGTTTCAAAACGAGGAAAAGAGGTGACCCTGCTTTTCACTGCTTTGAATACACATTTGTTTTTCTGCCTCGAGGGCCTTTTAAAATTTCCTCGAATCGACGTGCGTCTGCTTTCACAGATGAAAAGGAGAGATTTGACCCTACTCAGTTTCAAGAAAGTATCGTACAAGGCTTGAATCAAACTGGCACTGATTTGGACGCGGTCGCGAAGTTCCTCGATGCTTCTGGCGCCAAGCTTGACTACCGCCGGTATGCAGAGACACTGTTTGACATCCTGGTGGCCGGCGGAATGCTGGGTGAGTCGCTGTGGGGTTATCAACATGTTGTTCTTGCATTTCTGTTTTAAACCTAAATATTTGTTTACGTCATCCTTTAGCCCCAGGCGGGACTCTGTCTGACGACATGACCCGCACCGAATTCTGCCTCTTTACGGCACAAGAAGACCTGGAGACAATGCAAGCATATGCTCAGGTAAACGGCAGTAAACTACGGCTGAGCTTTAGGGCCACGCTAAAAAACAATTTAAAAACTATAAAGTTATGAATATAAAGTCGAAGTATTATGAGAATAAAGTTGAATAAAGTCTTAAAATTACAAGAATAAAGTCAATTTTTTAAATTGTATTTTCCCACGAGTCAGATCCACGACGCGACCTGTCAATCAATCCAGTGGGCGTGTCAGCATTTATGACCAATCTGAAGCTAAGCGAGTCATAATATTATCCGAACTCCATCCAAGGAATTGGATTAAAGAATAATCTGGAGAGTGGTGTTAAAAATGTCAGATCAATGCGTATGTTTAAGAAAATGATCAAAGTTGATTTGTTAAAAAAAAACAAAAAAAAACGGAAATAGCTTAATGTGTATTTGTATGAATTGTTGCTCAAGAAGGAGTTATTTTGTTTTTATTAAATTATTATTGTTTGAATTAAGTTTTTGGAAAAAGGTGCAGATATTAAAATGTTTCTTCTTTCTGCTGCCTTTCATTTAATTTGTGATTTGTATTTCTTACTGTATATAGAATTGTTTGTTTAAAAAAAAAACGAGTGAACTTTATAATAAAAAAAATACAAATAACTCCGACACGATAAAGCAGGGTTTACATTTTAACTGTGGTAAAGTAAAGAATGTTGAGCATCTTAAGTTTTACTTTGGTACTGGTTTTACAAATAAGGAAATGGTTAATCTGTCAGCACATCAGTATCAGATTATTATCAGTATGATGGGCTGCAGCAGTGCTCTGCAGGTAAGGAGCATTTAGCTTCGGATTGGTCATTTGCTGCCACGCCCACTGGATTGATTGACAGGTCGCCACGTGGATCCGACTCGTGGGGAAAAAATATGAGAGCTGTAAAAATAAAACATCTTGTACGGCTTTATTCTCATAATATTAAGACTTTATTATCATTATTTTATGGCTTAAAAAAATTTCTTAGTGTGACCAATATATATATATTTTTAATTTTTTATTAGCTTGGCCCTAAAGCGCCGTCATATCTCAGATAAGTCTTTTTACTTTTCGTTTATCCCCAGCGTGAATGTTTTGTGTATTCTTTCACACATTGAAAGGTTTTTAACAAGCTGATCAGGCGTTACAAGTACCTGGAGAAGGGGTTCGAAGAGGAGATCAAAAAGGTGAGTGTTGAAATCTTATCTTTGTTTGTGCAGATTCAATTCAGTTTATTTCTATAGCTCCAAGTCACAACCGAAGTCATCTCAAGGCACTGAACAGAAACATTCATATTTAAAAATTATAATTAAACATTGTTTATCTGAGGAGCAGACTGCTTTGAGTTTAACTCCATCGAATAACTCATCTTGAGCAAGCATGAAGGCGACAGTGGAAAAACTCCCTCATGAGGAAGAAACCTTTAGCTTACCAGGCTCAGGAGAAGGGACCATCTGTTTCGACTGGCTTGGTTTGAGAAGAACAGATACACAATGGCAGGTCAAGAATCACATGTTAAGAAAGAAATAGTATCAAATGAAAACTTGAATTTTAACAATTCATTTAAGGAAATGAGGTCAATTTGTCCTCCAGTAGTCTAAGCCTATAGCAGCATAGCAAGCCAACCCTAACTATAGGATTTATCAAAAAGGAAAGTCTTAAACTGGACAATGTGTCAGCCTCATGGACATAAACTGGAAGTTGGTTCCACAAGAGAGGAGCCTGATAACTGAAAGATCTTCCTCCTCTTCTGCTTATGGAAACTCTAGGAACCACAAGTAAGCCTGCAGTCTGAGAGTTAAGCACTCTGTGATAAAAATATGGCACAATAGGATATCGAATATAAGATGGACCTAGGTTGTTGAGAGCTTTGTAGGTTAGAAATAAGATTTTCAATTCAATTCTGGGTTTAACAGGGAGCCAATGGAGAGAAGCTAAAACTGGAGAGATATGAACTCTCCCAGTAACTCCAGTTACTCTGGCAGCAACATTTTGGATTAACTGAAGACTTTAAAGAAGTTTTTGGACACCGATAATAAACCATTGAAATAGTCCAGTTTAGACGTGACAAATGCATGAACCAGTTCTTCATCATTTTTAGATGAGGTGTTTCTAATTTTAGTGATATTACGCAGGTGGAAGAAGGTGGTTCTGGTAAAGTTTTTAATGTTGGGGATAAAAGACCAAGTCCAGGTGCAGAGGTGTAATGTTTTAACGTGCGGTTTGTTCCAGCTCTTGTCCGAACTGTTGCGTTTGTTGACAGAGCCGGCAGCTGTTTAAAGGTAAAGATTGTAGTTGTAAACTGGCACCAACACTTGCGTTATCTGTTCAAGTTGGCAGCTTTCAGATCCGACGGTTAGTCACGCCGGTTGGAGGAGAACCATTGTTGTCATTGTTCCAACCCGTCAGGCTGCGGACACAACAAACTGTTTGTGTTTGCAGTTGCTGCTGTTTCTAAAGGGGTTCACCGAGTCCGAGCGCAACAAGCTCGCCATGCTGACCGGCATCCTGCTGGCGAATGGCAGCATATCTGCCTCCATCCTGAACAGCCTCTTCAACGAGAACCTCGTCAAGGAGGGTGAGAACATCGAGTCCCGTCTTGCACAAATATCCCGTTTTCGGTGAAATCTTCAGTCGGAGTAGCTTGCCTCGTCTCTTCTCAGGAGTCTCTGCAGCTTTCGCCGTCAAGCTGTTCAAGTCATGGATCAACGAGAAGGACATCAACTCTGTTGCTGGCAGTCTCCGCAAAGTTGGGATGGACAACAGGCTGATGGTACGTTTATGATCAGGAATCACGAACTAGATTTGGTTTTGTCTGCTTTGTGTGCGTGACACTCGCTTTTGAACGTTTCCGCCGCCCAGGAGCTCTTTCCTGCCAACAAGCGGAGCTGCGAGCATTTTTCTAAGTACTTTACTGACGCCGGGCTGAAGGAGCTGTCCGACTTTGCCCGCAACCAGCAGTCAATCGGCGCCCGGAAGGAGCTGCAGAAGGAGCTCCAGGAGATGATGGCCCATGGCGACCCTCTGAAGGAGGTGAGTTTATGATGTAGTTAAAGTGGGGGACAGCTTAACTGTCGCTTCACTACTAATTAATCATTCTTAAAGCTAGTTTAAGCCCAAAGAATATTAATTACTTGAATACAACGGGTTCTTTCTTTTTCGAGTTAAATTAATGCCATGTGACGAAATAACTGTGTTCATTGTGTAATCCGTGACATGAGACGTTATTTTTCTTTGACCCATCAGAATAAATGCGGTCATTTATTTAACAGAATCAAAATTTAACATCAAAACATTGTACACTTGATTTGCTGATCTGGTTCTGATAAAAACTTGGCACGCTTTACTAACAAGACAACAGAACATTTCTGAAGGCATCTAGATTGATTTACTGGCAAAAAGATTTACAAGAGAGATTTAGAGGAAGATGGAGAAGTTTAAAGGGAGATGGATGAAGGAAGGAATATGTTTTGTTGACCAGAATTAGCACGCTTCTTTCAACACCAGCTCAAACCTCCGGTACACTTCAGGACGTGCAGAGACTTCGTTACCTTAGACGGGGGATACCTCCACTCCAGAACAGAAGTCCATTAGTACGATCCTTTTCCAGCGTCTCTGGTCAGGGTGGCTGGGCATCGTCAGAAATCTTGTGGTTTACTCCGTTAAACAGACAAGCTTCCTTCGAAGTTGTAGGGCGTTACGCCCGGGTGAGTTCACAGCAAGGCGCTGTCTCCGCTGAGATGGACGGACCCTCGTCTCACGGTCAAATCCATCAGCTATTGATTAAATCTGAAAGTTCCTTAGGAACTCTTAGGAAGACTCCATAATCAGAGACTGAGTTCGACTGAGAAGACTCAGATCAAAGACTGAAGAGTCGAAAAGACTGAATAGTTCCAGGAAGTGTTGACTTTTTAGAGTCCTCACTTCCGGTCACTTAGTACTTCCTGATTGGTTGAAACAACCAACAGGGGGTGGTGCTAGTGATGTCAGAGGGTTATTAAAAGTCAAGAGAGGGTGCAAGAATGTTTAGGAACGTTTAATACAGACAGAGAAATGTTATGGCGAAGTGAGACAAACGCAGATGCCAGTTTCTTTTCATCGTCTGCTAGGTTTAAAAACGATACAGTTCGTTCTAATAACTTGTTTTCTGACTGTCTCTGACTTTCGACCGACATCACTGACTTCTCATTTAGACAGAAGATCAAAATGCATAATTACTTTGTAAATAGACATTTAACTTGATTTCTCATTTCTAATGGGGTTTAAAAATCATTAATACTGTTTCACAGTTGATTTAAATGAGTAGTTCATATCATTTCTAATGTTGAAAGTAAACCAAACACTTTGATTATCAAGATATTGTAAAATGGTAATGATGATATAAAAAGAAGTGTTCTTTCAATTGATTGATTCAGGATACAATTAGAAAGTCTCTGGATGAGCTCATTTGTATTTCTGGATTCAAATCAATGAAATAACAGTTCCTGTCCCATGAAGGTCTTCAGAGGCAGGTTTTGGTCGGAGGCCTAGTTCACTACAATGACGATTCATGCCCATTTGTTTAAATAAGCCTGACTTTTTGTGACTTTCAGACGAGTTTAAGTGAGCGTCTCCGACATGGCTGAAGCATTACGAACGCTGCGTTTCTCACACAGATCATCACCTTCACCAGAGAGGAGATGAAAAAGGCCAGCCTTTCTGAGCAGGCCTTGATTGGCATCATCTGGACCAGCGTGATGAGCTCCGTGGAGTGGAACAAGAAGGAAGAGCTGGTGACTGAACAAGCCATCAAACACTTGAAGGTTTGCTTCTGAAATGACCTCCACACTGCGTCAGGGGGGGTTTGGTTAACACGTTTGACTTTTCCCTTCAGAAGTCCTTCACTTGTATTGAATGTGCTAAAATTTGACTTTGGGTTTAAAATTATTTAGCGTTCAAAGTGGGGGGAGGTGTACTCTCTCACAACATCCCACCCCAACTTACTGTCATTACCAGAAATTACCAAATTAAAATATTATTATTGTAAATTATTATCCATGATGCCGTATTTTCCGGCGGACACGTCGCACCGCCCTATAAGTTGCATCATTCCATATTTGTCTAATAAAGTGGAAAAATCCATAAGTGCGTCGCTTCACCGTATACGTTGCATCTATTTCGCGTCAACGCGACAACCCGGAAATGTGGGCCGGTGTTGTGCCAAAAACCGATGGGCTGCCAAATGGCGGCTGCGGGAGCGTTCACGGGAGGACTTTAACAAGAATTTAACAAGATTATCACTTAAAAACAATTTTACGTTCGCTCGAAATTATAGTAAATGTGTGTCTCAGTCCAATATCTGCTTAATAAATGCACTTTAATGGTCAAATCAGCTTTCTTTAAAAAATAGTTTCGCTGCCTCAGTGCTCCATGAACGTGCAGAGGACGAGAAAAAGGAAGGAGGAACGGCTCGTTTCACAGAAATTTAACAACAAAAGCACCTAGACATTTATTTATTTGCTCTAAATTATAGCTAAGGTGTGTCTCGGTCTAACATTTGCTTTTCTTATTATCGCCGTGGTGGTGCAGCTGGTTTGACGGTTCCAAGCAGAGAGCAGAATAAAGGTGGGGAGATTATGGCAGGCAGATTGAGTCATTAAAACCTGGTGAAGATTCAGTCATCCAGGACATGGTAAATTCTAAAAAGTTCATGAAAAAAACAAAGTATAAAGTAAAAGTCCAGTTGTTTTGTCTTGAACTTGTTTGAATTTGTCATTATAGCCACGTTTACCTATTACATGATACAACTGCCAACAGCATGCCATACCACTATTACTACTCTGCTGCCATCAAGTGGATGAAAATGGTACTGCTCCCTTTTTTTTTTTCATAGTCAAAATGAATGGAAACAATCATATCAGCCTAAAAATGGTTTATAAATATGGGGAAAAAAATCCATAAATATGTCGCTTTGGCCTATAAGTCGCAGGGCTTGCAAATTATGCAAAAAAACTGACTTATAGGCCAAAAAATACGGTACATATCCAGTCTATGATGTGTGAGGAGTAACAAGCAAAGAATAAATAACTGGAGTGTTGTTTAAAACCAATTTAAGCCAAACCAGTGGAATTTTACTCATTTTTAAATACTTTTAAACTGAATATTAAAACAAAAACCTAAATTTAAAGATGAGGTCATGAGTGTTAGTAACATTAAAATAATTTTATAGCCAGAACTAACACTCATGACTCATAGGCAGCTGTGGCCGAGTGGTTGGAGCCCTCGTCCTGCAATGCGAGAGTTGGGGGGTCAATTCCACCAGCAGTCACGTGGGCAAGACACTGAACTTCTCGTTGCTTCTGATGTTTGTCCCATCGGTGTATGAATGTGATAAAGCACTGATTAGTCTTGGTATAGATCTAGTAGAGTGCTGTATGAATGGGTGAGGACAGATTGTGTTGTAAAGAGCTTCGAGTATCTTGATGAGATAGAAAGGTGCTAGATAAGTACAGTACATTTACCACGACCAACAACAAAAACGGTCAAATAAAATGGCTTAAAGAAAATTAAACTATTCTGATGACTACAATTTTATATTCAATAAAGTTTTCCTAAACAACACTGGTGATCACCACTGTAAACATGAGTGTTTAGTACCGTAATTTCCAGAATATTGAGCGCAACTGAATATAATCCGCAAGTGTCCATGTTGTAACACGAGATGTTTACACAGAAAGATTTATTAAACTTGTAAGTAAATACTTACTGGGAACATAGACAAATATGTAAAGTAAATGTTTTTTTTTTTTTCTTTTCGAACAGAGCTGGTAACACTGCTGGTTAAAAAATAAAATACTGGTATAGTAGCCTAGCAGGAAAAGTCATTGATCGGTCTTCATCTTCCACTAAAGTCGTCGTCTTCAGTGTCAGAATTGAACCTCAGACAAACTTCATCGCACGTCCTCCGTGTCTTTCGTTGTCGCTCTCGACGTCACTTTCATCTCGAGGCAAATTCGCACTTGAGCTTGTGAACACGCAACAGTCCAGCCTTTCGAAACCCGTTGGTGATGGTGGATTTTTTTTGACACTGCTCCACGCTGTCGGGATCCACGAAGAAAAGTTTCTCTTTGCATGCGGCCTGTTCTGGTAAATGATTTATCAACGCTAGTCATCCAAAGCCTCCCACTGAGCCACTTTACATGCATGATTCACACTTCTGCCGAGTGGCTGCAAATCGTTGTGCCCCCAGGGTTCATGTTTATCACGTGATCATGAGACGTGCTTTGGGCAGCTACCGCATTTTTTGGCGTATAAGTCGCAGTTTTTTTTTTGTTTTTTTTGCATAATTTACATGCCCTGCGACATATAGGCCGAAGCAACATATTTAAAGATCCCCACCCCCCATATTTATAAACTATTTTTTGGCCGAGATATGACCATTTCCATTCATTCTGACTGAAAAAATAAATTAAATTGAGCAGTTCCACCTCCAGCAGAGTAGTAATAGTTGTATGGCATGCGGTTGTATCATGTAATAAGTAAACTTTGCTAAAATGACTAACTCAAAAAAGTTCAAGACAAAAACAACTGGACTTTATTTATTATACTTGTCTTTTTTTTTAAATTTACCATGTCCTGGATGACTTAGAATCTTCACCAGCTATTAATGACACAATTGGCCTGCCATAATCGCCCCACCTTCATTCTGCTCTCTGCTTGGAACCAACAAAATAGCTGCACCACCCCAGCAAGATGCAGCTGATTTGACGATCAGTGCATTTATGAAGCAAACGTTAGACTGAGACACACCTTTAATATAATTTTGAGCAAACAAATAAATGTTTTTAAGTTTGAAGTCCTCCCATGCATGCTCCCGCAGCCGCCATTTGGCAGCCCATCTTTTTTTTTGGCAAAACACCGGTCCACATTTCCGGGTTATCAACGGTGACGCGTAAGAAATGTGATGCGTCAGCGGTGACTCATAATAGTTGCGACATATACGGCGAAGCGACACATTTATGGATTTTTCCACTTTATTAGACAAATATGGACTGATGTGACTTATAGTGTGGAGCGTCGTGTCCAGCGGAAGATGCGTTATGCAAGTGCTCAACATTTTGGCGGCATGAAGCCCGTTGGCCTGTAAAAATCTATAAATTAGCCGCAGCAGTGTTCAAAGTGTGTGGAAAAAATATAGCGACTTTTAACATTTATCGTTCCTTGTGAGTCGTTCGTCACCTGATTACACCCCTGTATTAAATCCAGTTAGAAGCAGAGTAAAGCGAATCATGACTTCCAGTTTTGAACTGATGCCTTGTGGGTAATGTAGTTTAAATGGATTCAAGGTTCATGTCATTCGCACCCCATGTGGCACATGTGGTGGAGCGAAATTGTGTACTGAGAAAAACATCAACTAAATATACACTAAGCACTAATGGCGTAAAAACATTACGCCGAACAGCAGCACAAACATGAGTCTGTGTGAGCAGATGAGCACGAATGAACACGGCAACATGAAACGGATCAACAGCAACACGATGTGATTTTTTTTCACAGTGGTTATTCTGGTTAGAGATTCATGAGTCTGAGCTGTTCCTCAGTCTAGTGGTTCTACACTTAATGTTCCTTAACCTCCTTCCTGAGGGGAGCAGGGCAAAAGTGTGTGTGCTGGGTGAGTGGGGTCCTTCATGATGCATCAGTTGTAGTTTATGGTTTGACTGAAGCCTGAGTATTGGCAGGTTTATGAGAGGCACTGATTATGATGTTTGAGATAACATGTCTGCAATTTAAGACGAACTTGATTATAGTTTTATTCATACATTTTTATTTCACGTATTGTTTGGGATTATTTGTAGTCTTGTTGTCCATCAAACGGTAAAAGTAAAACCCTCCTAACTTGTACCAATTAGTCACAAAGCCTCACCCCCTACGCTACTCGTGGCAACACTCTTCACCACGTGATGGACTGTAACGCACATTAACTAAGTTTAAAACGTGATTTTATGGGGCTTTAACCCAACTTCTTGTTTTCTACACAGCAATACAGCCCTCTGCTGAAATCCTTCACCTCCCAGGGTCTGTCTGAGCTCAGCCTGCTGCTGAAGATCCAGGAGTACTGCTACGACAACATCCACTTCATGAAGGCCTTTCAGAAGATCGTGGTGCTCCTCTACAAAGGTAAACCTGGCCTTGTTTTGACCATTTCTCGTGTTTTTAACAAAATATTTTAGTTCAGCTGTTTTTCATTCATACGCTTTTAAAGCTCAGAACTGTTCAGATGTTTCCCACCTAGTTTAGCAGCTTAGCATATGCACTTTGTGCCGAGTGGAGCTTTGACCCGTGTTTGTTGTTTGAACAGCTGATGTTTTGAGCGAAGAGGCCATATTGAAGTGGTACACCGAGGCCCACCTTGCCAAGGGGAAGAGCGTTTTCCTCGAGCAAATGAAGAAATTTGTGGAGTGGCTTAAAAACGCCGAGGAAGGTAAAGAACCCTCAACATCAGACGTTCACGTTAAAGTTTTCATTCATTTATTTAGTCGGATTAATCACATTGAGCCTTGAGGACTCATTTACAAATGAGACCTGTTTAGACAGACAAAAAAGTAATGAAAGTGACAACATGTATAGTATTTGGAGGCAAAAAAAATCCTAACAGACTATCGATCCTTGGCCGAGGTCAGGTAGCCTGAAATTGAAAAAAACACCCCGCACATAGTGATGCAGACATTCAGCAGGGGAGGGGAGATGACGAGAGCGGTGAGCGTGTCCAAGGACACTCCAGTGGCACTGTCTGAGTTCTGATAAGAATGGAATAATCAGCCAGTTCCCTCTGGTGAGATACGTAAACCTTCTGATGGGTCCGCAGACTTCCTCGGTGGGAGAGGGGAAGGACTTTCCTTAGGACTTTCGGTTTAACGGTCTAAATACTACCATACCATACCAATTTATTTATAGAGCACTTAAAACGGCAACAAGGCCAACCAAAGTGCTGTACAAAAGAAAACAAACATGCACAGCGGACAGGAAAGCATAAAATAGAAATACAGATACAAATGGCAGCAGAAGCTAACTAAAATGACCAACAGAGTAGAGAACAGACCGGACCAAAACAAATCACACCGTGTTAAAGGCAAGCGAATAGAAGTGGGTCTTCAAGCGAGACTTAAAGACTGAGAGTGTTGGAGCCTGCCGGACACTCAGTGGCAACTCATTCCACAGTCGTGGACCTGCAACAGAGAAAGCCCTGTCACCTCTGAGCTTACGATGGGTTTCTGGGACTGAGAGAAGCATCTGGTCTGCTGACCTCAGAGAGCGCAGTGGGACATATGGCTGCAGAAGATCAATGAGATAGGATGGGGCGGAACTGTTCAGTGATTTAAAAACATACATGAGAATTTTGAATTGGATCCGAAGGTGAATGGGTAGCCAGTGCAGGGAGGCCAAAACTGGCGTGATGTGCTCTCTATAGCCTGTACCAGTTAAAAATCAGGCTGCAGCATTTTGGACCAGTTGTAGACGAGCAATGGAGGACTGACTGATTCCAAACAGAAGTGAATTGCAGTAATCAAGCCTAGATGTTGTGAAGGCGTGGATCACTGTCTCAAGGTTCTTTTTGGAGAGTATAGGTTTCAGCTTAGACAGCTGTCTCAGCTGAAAAAAACAGGATTTGACCATCATGTTTACGTGACTGTTGAGTTTTAAGGACGGGTCCATTATCACCCCCAGATTAGTGACCTTTTGTTTCTCTAGCGGGGCTAGAGAGAAAAGATCAATGTCATGGTTCATGAGTGAGCCACTGGGATGGAACAGCATGACTTCAGACTTCTTCTCATTGAAGCTTAAGAAGTTTAAAGCCATCCAGTCCCGGATGTCAGCCAGGCAGTCAAGAAGAGGCTGAATAGAGCGTGTGCCTCTGTGCCTCAGGGGGAAGTAAATTTGGCAATCATCGGCGTAGAAATGGGGAAAGTAGAAACTAGAAATACTAGTTCAGCTGACTGAAGTCAGAAATGTTGGGTGGTCCTGATTTTCTTAGTTTATTTGAAAATGAAAAGAAGCAATATCAGAAATTGTCAAATGTTACAAAGCTATAACGGGCACATTTTGTTCAGAGTTCCTCTATAGAACGATTGAATTAAAATGCTTCTATTAATGCGTGAGCTCTTAGGAGTTGGAAAAACTAGTGATGGATGTTTTTAGGTATTTTCTGATCACTGGCATAAAACACACACAAAAGTTTGTGTGACAAGATTAATTGGGTTCTGCACTGAAGGCTGTAAGAGTGGGCACAGCTTTTTGTTGTTGCCTTGCCAAACTGCCCAAGTAAATTAAGTTTTATTTGTATAAACTCTGTCTGCTGACAGTTATAAAATAAGTTTTATTGTTGTCATGTGTTTGGCACAAATGTTTGCTTACACGTTTTGCTCACGCAGAGAAAAAAAAGTTTGTCAAGTACAGTAGTCCCTCAATTTTTCGCAGTTCGATGTTCATGGGTTTTCAACGTAATATTGTATACGACACACGATTGGCAATGGGGAAAGACGACCCCCTTCTTTCTCTTTTTGAGGCTGTCACAGCAGAGCAGACACACAGCAGCCTGCGTCTTTGCTGTGACAGCCTCAGTAGAGCGAAGACTCCTGTGACAGACACCCGCCCCCTCCTTTCTCTTTCCGAGGTTGTCGCAGCAGAGAAAGAGAAAGGAGGGCGGGCTTGGGGTCTGTCTTTCCCCATTGCGACTGCTCAGGCAGCAGGGATGAACAGATCAGATGAACAAATGTAAAATATGGTAGAAAATGCTTAGGTGAGAAAATAAGAGTGAATACGTTTTCTAACCCTTATAAGACGGACCCCCCCCCCCCCCCCTTTTCTCTTTCTGAGGCTGTCATATTAGAGGAAGAGAAAGGAGGGGGCGGGCTTGGGGTCTGTCTTTTCTCATCGTGTCCCAGAGACGCAACGGGTGGGTGCACAACAGACGGCCTCAAAATAAAAAGAAAGGACGGGGGGACGGTCTGTTTTATACCTGAGTGAGCCACACAAGGACATGGATTGTTTATTTAAAATAATCAAGCGTGACCTGAACCGAGCCTTTAGGAACGAGAGCAGGAACAAGAATGCTGGATACTTAAGGCACGAGGCGATCAGACAATCTGGCAGGGAGGCAGAGACTGGGAGCACTGAAGGAGCGCAGCGCACAGGTGCAGCAGGAGGGAGAGTGGGAGTGACACAGGTGACGAGCACGAGTGTGACTGCAGCGGAGAAGTGGGCGTGGCAGTGAGCGGAGATCATGACACGCCGTGCACTTTGAGCGTTTAGAACATTAAGTCGGGTTCTTTATTTGTCATGCACACCACATGTCATGTGGTGGAACAAAATTGTGTACACAGGGACCCAGTTACATCCACCAAAAGTATAAAATGTAAAAGAAAAACGGTAAAAAGATCTAAGATATGAACTAAGAAAAACGGTGAACTAAAAATACGCTAAAGGCTAGTAGTACAAAAACAATACGCCGAACAGAAATACGAACATTGCAAGAGTGTGGGAAGGGTTTATAAAGCCTTAATATACAGGTCCTTCTAAAAAAAATAGCATATTGTGATAAAGGTCATTATTTTCCATAATGTAATGATAAAAATTAAACTTTCATATATTTCAGATTCATTGCACACCAACTGAAATATTTCAGGTCTTTAATTGTTTTAATACTGATGATTATGGCATACAGCTCATGAAAACCCAAAATGCCTGTCCCAAAAAATTAGCATATTTCATCCCACCAATGAAAGACAAGTGTTTTTAATACAAAAAACGCCAACCTTCAAATAATCATGTTCAGTTATGCACTCAATACTTGGTCGGGAATCCTTTTGCATGAATGACTGCTTCAATGTGGCGTGGCATGGAGGCAATCAGCCTGTGGCACTGCTGAGGTGTTATGGAGGCCCAGGATGCTTCGATAGCGGCCTTAAGCTCATCCAGAGTGTTGGGTCTTGCATCTCTCAACTTTCTCTTCACAATATCCCACAGGTTCTCTATGGGGTTCAGGTCAGGAGAGTTGGCAGGCCAATTGAGCACAGTAATACCATGGTCAGTAAACCATTTACCAGTGGTTTTGGCGCTGTGAGCAGGTGCCAGGTCGTGCTGAAAAATGAAATCTTCATCTCCATAAAGCTTTTCAGCAGATGGAAGCATGAAGTGCTCCAAAATCTGATGGCTAGCTGCATTGACCCTGCCCTTGATAAAACACAGTGGACCAACACCAGCAGCTGACATGACACCCCAGACCATCACTGACTGTGGGTGCTTCACACTGGACTTCTGACATTTTGGCATTTCCTTCTCCCCAGTCTTCCTCCAGACTCTGGCACCTTGATTTCCGAATGACATGCAAAATTTGCTTTCATCCAAAAAAAGTACTTTGGACCACTGAGCAACAGTCCAGTGCTGCTTCTCTGTAGCCCAGGTCAGGTGCTTCTGCCGCTGTTTCTGGTTCAAAAGTGGCTTGACCTGGGGAATGCGGCACCTGTAGCCCATTTCCTGCACACGCCTGTGCACGGTGGCTCTGGATGTTTCTACTCCAGACTCAGTCCACTGCTTCCGCAGGTCCCCCAAGGTCTGGAATCGGCCCTTCTCCACAATCCTCCTCAGGGTCCGGTCACCTCTTCTCGTTGTGCAGCGTTTTCTGCCACACTTTTCCCTTCCCACAGACTTCCCACTGAGGTGCCTTGATACAGCACTCTGGGAACAGCCTATTCGTTCAGCAATTTCTTTCTGTGTCTTACCCTCTTGCTTGAGGGTGTCAATGATGGCCTTCTGGACAGCAGTCAGGTCGGCAGTCTTACCCATGGTTGCGGTTTTGAGTAATGAACAAGGCTGGGAGTTTTTAAAAGCCTCAGGAATCTTTTGCAGGTGTTTAGAGTTACGTTGTTGATTCAGATGGTTAGGTTAATAGCTTGTTTAGAGAACCTTTTCATGATATGCTAATTTTTTGGGACAGGCATTTTGGGTTTTCATGAGCTGTATGCCATAATCATCAGTATTAAAACAATTAAAGACCTGAAATATTTCAGTTGGTGTGCAATGAATCTGAAATATATGAAAGTTTCATTTTTATCATTACATCATGGAAAATAGAATAGAATAGAGACGGCCTTTATTGTCCTACGGATGGGAAATTCCAGTGTATCAGCAGCAACAGATAAAAAGATTTCACACAAGTTCCTAAAATGTTAATAAACAATACATTATATAAGAAATAAGATAAACAATATCGATGATAATGTTCAATATGTATTGGAACATTGAGAATGGCAGAAATAATGACCTTTATCGCAATATGCTAATTTTTCACAAAAAGCATACTCCATAGTGGAAATAATAATACAAAAAATCAAGTTTGCTAAGTTTTTCCACAATGGAGTGTGCTTTTTGTGGGAATCAGTCTTGTTTGTTGGTGGCTCCTCGGATCGAAGAAGTCCTTTGGATGAAGGACGAAAAGTCTCGGCAAGAAAAAGATAAATAAATTGTCCAAATGACGTGACTGAACATTGTTGGATTTTCTTATGGATTATTGAGCATGAACTTTGACGTTACTTCTCAGAACTTGATACTTTACTTTCTGAAAGGAGAAAATGTCTAATTTTTTTTTATGTTTTGTGTCAACAGAATCCGAATCAGAAGAGGAGGAGGCGGACTGAAACTTTTTTTTTTTTGTTTGTTTTCACTTTTTTTTTTCTTTGTTTTGTAGCAACAGGAGCTGTAGAACGTCCCGACCCATCTTTTTCTACCTCCTGTTACTTATTTATCCCCCTACACTCACAAACACGTGCATACACACTTAACTGAATGACTCATTAAAGCAGTATTTAAATAAACTAAGAAGGGCTCTGTCCTTTGCAACTCAGAAATCAATATCTTTATTCATATTTTGTAATTTGAACAATTCCTCTCGATCAGTTTGAATAGAAAGCCGGCACATTTCACTTCATGATCATGGATGAAATCAGTTTTGCCAAAATATTATATTTTTGTCCAGCTGTACTTAAAATATTTTCAGCCTGACTCTGTTGGTTCAGTTCAGTCTATATAACTTGGATTTTTTTTTTTTTTTTTTTTTACTTCCGGGTCACGTCTCGTCAGTCCGTCAGGAGACACGCCAACACCCCAGTAAGACTCATCGCCAGCCACACAAATACTAAAGGTTTCTACTTTCTGTAATCGGATATAAACCAGTTGACTTTTTTAATTAATAAAGAATATTGAAATGGTTTTACGGTGATTTTTGGCTTTTATTCATTTGCAGTAATGTCCATTTCTTCCCGTTGAACTAAAGCGCAGTAAAATTGTGTTCAAAATAATAAGTTTGCAAGAGCTCAGACTCCGGAGGAGTTAATAAAAAAATCAAGGAGATGCCAAGGTCAACTAGATTATAAATTTTAAACAAGGTGTTGTTTATGTACAAATTATTTTACATGGTTACACAAGGTGGGAAAACTAATGCAGAATTAGAATTTTAATTATTTTCATGTCTTCAATATTCTTAAAATTATATAGATGACCTGGGGATCCAGGATTCCCACATTTAGTGAAACTTTGGGATTAAATATTAAATTATAAACCTGTCTTTATATTAATCCAAGATCCACCCTCGTCTAAAAGAAACATTCTTACATTCAAAGAGCTGACGTTAAAGCAAAGTCTAACCTGATTGGTCGGATAAGGCTCCGCCCACCAACACCTACACTGGTTCTTAAAAAGACTCGAAAGGCACAATACATTTTATTGCATAAAATAAACAAGACCTTTTGTATCCTTATTTATTTTGTACAAAAATACATTCCTTTAAGCAGCTTTTCAGTATTTGTAATGTGCAAAAAAAAAAGTTTTCAGACTTTCAAGTACTGTAGTCGCATTACTCATTAGATGTAGAGGTATTTATATTTAAAACACAACTGAGGTAGTGAGCAACATTAACTTCTGATAGTTCAGTGCTAAATCAAAGAAAGGGATTTAGTTCATTTTTTTACATTTCCAAATTATTAAAAAAAAGTGCAAAAGTCAGATTAATGCACATTAAATGAAAAAGTAAAAACACTCCCCACAGTTTTTTTTTTTCTTGAGACATTTTACAATTCAGTTGGAACTTCTTGCACATACGCAATGTAAACCATTTCAAATGTTTGCAAGAAACACTTTTAAAATGGGAATGCATCAATATCAAAAAGCTTCGAAGTAAAATAGCAACAGACAAGCTCCGTTTAAAAAAAAAAAAGTTTAGATTTATGGTAAATTTACCACAAGTGGTAATGAAGACATTTAGGGAGCCGTGTAGTTGGAGAATTAAAAAAAACAAACCAACCTATGAAATCAATAAAAAAAAAAATGTGATTTAAAAATTATTTCCCTGAGATAAACTTTATTGTGAATTGACATACAGTAAACAAACTGAACTGAGCTCAGTTTAAGTAATTGCTCATTAAAGACTAGAACCATGTCATTTAAAGCAAAAACAGCAATGGCTATAAAAACTAGCTTACAGTTTGCTCACGGAGTTGGTTTGCTCAACGGCTAATGTTAAATTAGCTTGTGAGTTCCATTAGCAACTTAGTAGGCACATCATTTTTTTTAAGCAACTATTTGAAAATAGAGCAAATGGAGCTAGCTAACTTAAGACTGCTTGCAACGATGTTATCTGTTGCTAGCTAATATTAGGTTAGCTGATGAGTTCTATCACTAGCCAAGTTTGCACATGTATTTTACCAGGAAGTAAAAAATACCTACTAGTGTAACTAAGGGCTTAATTTGTAAACTGATCGATGTTGGAATGCAGTGCTTAATTTGAGCCGGATCCTGCTGGAACAAGGTCCTGGAACTCTCAGGCTTACTAATAAAGTTATGAACAAATATGACTGCCTTGAATTAATAAAATTTATATTGAATATGTAAACTGAAAATAATTACATAAAGGCTTAATTTAAATGCCAGGGCATATGATCTGTCTCTTCTAGTAGCATTTCTGTGCCTACCCTTTAAAAAAATCTCTGCCACGTAAAGAGTGGTGGGGGTGACTGCCAAGCTAAAAAGGTAGTCGTACGCGGGCTGGAACTAACAGCCGCAGGTAGGCGTCTAGAGGTTCATGTGGAGTCGTACAATAACGAGCAGGGACAGTGGGGGAGTAACCCCAGACACCCCCATCCTGCCGGCCCGCCCACTATTTGAATCTTGGCCCTGCCAGACACTGCTCATTGTCGTCCGACTCCATACGTGAAACCTCCAGTGCCTCCGTCTGTTCCTGGCCGCTGCCTGAGTTCCTGCCCGCGTACAACTGGTTAGCTCGGCACTCACCCCCACCACACTCTTTTAGGGATGGATATTTTTTTTTAAGGGTAGACTCGGAAATGCTGCTTGAAGAGGCAGCTCGTAAGTGGCTGTTGTGTTTAAAATGAGTGTTTATGTAATTATTTTCAGTTTACATATCCAATGTAAGTTGTATTCATTCATATTTGTTCATATCTTTAGTATTAGTAAAACTGAGAGTTACTGGATCCAAGTAAACCGTTACCAGAACACACCCTGTCAAAATAAGAGTTCCCGGATCCTGTGTCTCGGAAGGATCAGGCTCAAATTAAGCCACAATCTAAGTATAAGTTTGCTAACCATAATGTTAGTGAACCAGTATTATTGCTAACTAATAAGTTAGTAAGTGGCAACTTTAAGTTAGCACAGCATAATTTTATTGAGTAATAGAATTAACTAGCTAACTTGAATGTCTGCAAGCAATGACGATAGCTTGCTAGCTCTATTGCTAGTTACTTTTGGGTTATCACAATGCTTTTTGGAGAAAGCTGGCTCTAATAGCCAATGTTTGCTTAGCTAATGAATTGCTTCGTTTAAATTCCCACAACATAATTTCCACTAAGTAGAATTAGCTTGCCACTGAGTTAGCTAGCTAGCATGTTTGTGCAACACTGCATTGATATCAGGGTATACATAACATTTAATGGGTGTATTGCGATTTCCTGATGCAGGATATGACACAATAAATTGTTACACTTGATGCATGTCTTGACCAAAGGTGGTTTTCTGTATCCTGACTTGCAGTAAAAACATATAAACTCTGCCAGTGTTGATGCAGTTCCCGCTCTTCACCACTAGAGGCACTAGATGAGGAAGTTCCAACATTCCAGACTGTACTTGAAGGCATCAGTAAACTGACAGCAACTACTGCTCTCACTCTTCAGTTTTCTCCATGTGACAAGGGCCTTTTTTTTTTTTTTTTTAGGAAGGATACATGGGGTCTTGGTGTTGGGGGGTCAAGGGGTAGTTTGTACTATTGGTGGGACCAAAAATAGCCCCACATCAGGTGCAGCTTTCCACATCGGCTCAGGTTACGTCTCAGCCAAAACACGGAGGTTCAGAACACCCAAGTCTGAACAGAAAGTGCTCGTTATTCAGTCTAATCTCATAAAATAAATATATTTATAAAGTATATTTACAAAGTTCAGAACATTAAACAAGACGGGGTGTTTCATGTCACACAACAGCTGAGTGTTTCCCTCCATCTCTGAGCTGTGGGAGAGAGGAAACATATTTTTTTTACCAACGAAAGAATTCATTGAAAGCATCACAGCAAACAAATTTTACACAGATTAGAACAAAACATTGGTTTGTGTTCTTCATGATATTAAAAAATTATAATCAAATGTAATATTGACAAGTCACTGATCCAGTTTCCGTCTCCTTGATTTAACCACACAGGGTCCAGACACCCTCTGTCAACACCTCTTCCACATGTGCAGTCAGGGAAAGATTATTAGATTCAGAACAGAACTGTAACTCTTAACATCAGTTTTGCACAAACTTTAATCCTTTACTTTGATACAAGATCAAAGTGCTTTTATTTTGTATTTTTCCAACGGTCTACATAAAAACTTAATTGATTTTAGTATTTACATTATTGTTTTCCTGTTTGTTTTTGTTCTGTGTGTTGGCATCTAACATCTGCAGACTGTGCTACTTCAGCCTTTTATACAACAAAACATTCAGCTCAATTTGCAAACGGGCCTTACACCTTTCAGACTTTTGAACTGTATTTCCGAAAATATACAATAAAGTAGCTGCTTCAAGATGTTTTCAAATCGTTCAGAAACATTGATCTCTTTGAGACCTGCTTCAGCATAGTTCTGCCATGTACGTACTGCTAATTGCACTAATGTGACTACTGCTAATTACACTAATGCTACTACTGCTAATATACCAATGC